ACATTTGTGTTGCAGTCAATCCTATGGAGGTAACTTGCTATGACTGCACTCTTGTGTGCCTTACTACCCCAAGAGTGAAACGACTGCCCATTCTTCAATTTTGATCTGCCATCCTCCCAATTTTTCTTTTCGTTCTTGATCGTCTGCACACAGGAAATATACGGTTGCAGCATGTTGATTCCCATCCTTGTCCCCAAGAAGTCCCATGTTCCTGTTGCGTCATCCGTACGCTTCAGAGTCAGGCTGTGTGGATAGCAGGATTCGAAACTCTCCGTGATTTCAGTGATGTGTTCGCCATTACCTTTTTTATCCAACACAATCATGCTGACGTCATCCATCAGCCGTAGGCCAAACACCATTTGTCTCATGCCACCCAGACTGGGCAAGGATCTGAACTCAGCAAAAGCACACATAATACAAGCTAATGGGGGGCTCGTGCTCTTCCCCACCGGGATCCCCAATACTTGCCTAAGCAACACACCCGTTGCCTTCGTGTAAGTGTGTTTTAGATCCAGGTGCACGAACGATCTGATCATCTCCAGATCAAGCATTCTCCAGTGGTCATCCCCTGTTGTCCGCCCGAAAGTGTTGCCTCTGCCCCTGGGATTCACACGTACGGCAACCCAGCCTTTCTCAATGTGGTATTTGATTACCCAATCAACGGCTGCAATTATCTCCTCATGGGGCAGTTTACTAAACATAGCTTTGATGTTGTAACACATCGCGACAAGTTTAGACTACGCCTTCATCTTTCGACCTTTGGAGCTGTTGAAGGTTGCAATACGTGGGACCAGATCTGACACAGATTTGAGATTGAAATGCTACTTCGACGGCAATGTGAACAACAGATGGTTCAAAGTTTTTGCCACGTTGCGACAGGTCTTCACGGTAGCTTCAGAATATGTAGGGCAGATGGGCCTGTAGCAGTTGACATCTTTATGCTTAGGCAAGGCGTAAGCCTCGCAAACAGCGCCCTTGCTGTCCCATCTGATACATTTTAACAGACCCGCTTCTTTCGCTTCCTATCGCAGTCTCGACATCACTTCCCTTTCTTCTTTCGCAATCACCACATAACCAGTGCTTCCTACGAATAGATCCAACATAGCGTCGTAGCAGACTTTCGGGCACATAACAAAAGTCTCCCCAGGATTTCTATCCAAAGGTGTGAGTACAAGCCCTTGCAATCTCAATCGTAGGCAGTGCACCTCGCTCGAATTCAAAAATTTCTCTGGCAGCGTGATGCCCGTTACAATGCACCTAGCTGCTTCCTCTTCGCTAATAGCTAGAGACTTCACCCTACAGTTCCTCCAAGACAACATTCCGTCTGAGATCTCCTTCCTTAGTAAGCATCCTCTATCTGGGTGAGAAAGCTTGGGGATATTATTAGCATTGCATAGCAGGGGGTCGACATCATCCAGTTCCTGAAGTCTAAATTGGACGTGCTCGTCTATCCTAGGATTGGGCAACCCTGTACAAATACAGGTGAGCACCTCAGCTCGGGCAAATTGCCGCTGATTATGCAAGGTATCAGCAACGGAGAGATTCTTAGTACCTACGATGCGAACCTGATTACGTGCAACCAACTTCAGACAGATTTGGCAGATCTAAATCCTCCAGCTTATCGTTTACAAGCTTCCGCGCTTCCACCAAACGTATCCGATTATCAAATCTCAGGCGAATGGTGAGCTGTGCATTGACGTGCCATCCAAACTGCTCTTTAATCGTGCGTCCTATCAACCTTCGGAGGCATGTTGTTGTCGATGCTCGCCGAAACCCCTTCGCGGACCCATTCAGTCGTACCAACACATCGAGATTGCATTGGTTTAGCGCTTCAAGGCGTCGAGGATTTCCTAGAATCAAGAGCAGGAAGTGTTTATCCGGCCCAATTTTTCGTCTCAAACGGCGCAGGAAGCAAATCTCGATGTCAAAGTCTTTCTCCATATGACCCTTGCATTGGTACAGAAGAAGGCGATGTCCCTCCACTTTAACAATCGAATTACCAAATGCTTTCCTGATCGATTTCCACCCGCCGCGCCAGCAATTCCCACCTTGCAGATGTAGTTTAAAGTTCAACTTTCCTATCTTCTCTTGACCCGCTAAAACTCCAAACTCGTCCACGCTCCATTCCTCCGTCCCACATGTACGTGTCTTAATGGGCTTTACCGCCTTCGCCTCCGGCATCCTATCGCGGGATATGCCCTCCCGACATCTCTCCCTTTTTCCCTTCCTTCGTTGACACCGATTTCTCTTATTTCCCGTGCCCGACAATTTTCTGTTTTTTGTTCAAGACTGGACTCCATGTCTTTATGAAGAGTTGCTCCAAAGAGAGCAGATCTTCCAGTATACAACAGTCGACCGGTAGCAAGGCGTACAACTCAGAGCCGAATGCCCGCCATTAATGGTACAGATGGTTCTTCTTCCAACCTCTATTGCTAACAGATAAGTGCTCTCTCCACCTCATGTTTATTGGTCGACTAGTCTGTCCTACAGACTGGGCGCGGCAGAACGGGGAAGATAGGACGTAAATGCAACAGGAAATATTTAAGAACGCTTCTATTTCGTAACATGCAAACAGGTTCAACCAAGAGTCGACACATTTTCGTACCCATCTTACCTCACCGGCTAAGGCTTGCAGGATAATTACGAAACGGTAGAGTATCTCGATACTCGCATTCACGATGCCTTCACGTTTCATACTCACCAGGCAGTGACACATCGCCCATCATTCACGTGTGTGTTTGGGTTATCACACATCCCCTTCTACCACCTCTTCTCCAATGTTTTTCTCATCTCTTGCTCCCCTATCCTCCTCATCATTCTCCGGCTCCTCAATTTCATCAGATTCGTAGGCTTCATTGGTCCTTTTCTCTGTGATGGCGAGGATCGTCTGCATCTTCTTCCCTCCGTACTGCACATCTTCCTCTTTGCATATCTTCTTCAGATCGTCCACATTGAGATCGGCCAAATCACGTAGGTTATCTGTCACGTACTTCAATTTGCCTAGCGCTCCCATCGAAGCTGGAATCTTCTTCTTTTTCAAAGTCGCACTTCTTGGAGTCTTTTGCTTCGGCGATCGTTTCATTGGCGGGTGCCGGCAAGTGAGCTGCAGTCTTTTAGTAAGCCGCCTGGGCTCCATCCCGACATGTTTGTTGATCTTTTTCGTCGGGGTCTCCATAGGAGGGCTGTCACTGACCGCCTTTTCAGTACTCCTCTTCCTTTTGTCATTATTCGTCAGTTTCTGAGTTTTGCCTCGTAACACCTTCACGTCATTCCCTTCGGATTCGCAAGAGGCGTCACCTGAGGAGTAGTTAGATTCTTCTTGAGGGTTCATCTTTGCTTTACCTTTGGACGCGTCAAGAACGACTTTCTTCAGGCGGTGTTGTATCCTCTCCTCGAGGCTGCCGACATGCATCGACAGATACACAAGCATCTCTTTTTTCATTAATTCGTGATCTTCCGCTTCCTAATGTTTGAGTTCGTCTTCCTTCTTCTTCTGTCGACGCTCCTCTTCCAACCTCTGTTCCTCCAATAGTCGCTTCTGCTCCGCTTTCTCTTGTTTACGTTTCTCCTTCTCC